TGCAGAAGAGGTATTACTTCTGACGCCATTATACCTCCAAAATTTGAAACCCTTCGATCCAGAATTCCCATTACGGCAAGAGAAACTAGAAAAAAGTTGTAAACATTCATAAATCCAGCCGACACTTGAAAGGGGGAACATAGATGAAATTTCTGCGGAAACCAGCCAATATTTCCGACAATTCTGCATTTTTACCTAGCTCATCAGCTTGAAACCTGAGACAGATTCCATTTGCCAGACATGTTCAAATATCATGCTATAGATAATTTAGCAGACTAATTGACAAAGCAATTTGCAAAAGAAGGTGTTATTTAAACAAAAACAAGTTCGCCAGTGGGAGAATATGTTTAGTTTAGGAAGATACATTTCGCTCTTAAGAATATCAATTCTACGAAATGTACTCCAGGAAATAGGTTTTCATGCAAGCAAATTATCTATGTACTGTACCATATGATTCAATTCATGGTAACCAGGCATTGACCTTGGCAAAATTCTAGCATCAAATATAAAAGAGTGTGTTTGGGGTAACTATGGCTTAAAATTTTGTACTTTCACGTCGTCTTTGGGTCGTTCTACATTTTCTCTTCGACATGGAACCTAATGTCCTTGGAGAACAAACAACATGCTGTAAAACAGAGTGGTACTTAGATGCTTTTAGATTGGATGGGCAACTTCTCTTCAGAGAGATCTTGAAACAGTGATCTGATTGAGAGAAGATTCGTGGATGACTAGTGTACTAGTACCGGCTAGGATGGGTTTCAATCAGCTACATCTTCCAAAATTGTATAGGAACCGTGCTCACTGTTATAACAGTCTGGTTCTCTCTATCATGAAACTATGCAGTAATTTGGGCTAGTTTTTGAGCTCCAGAGAGAGGAAATTGACCAAGGTGGTCACCTTTATCTGCGAGATGAGTCCCCTTGCTCGATGTTGTATTCAGAAAGTTAATGAGTTAGGTCATGTTTCCCACAATACTTTTGACTTATAATCAGATTATAAGAGCAGCATAACCATGTATTCAAGCTCTAAAAGTCAGAGTTTTCATGGCTTATTTTTTTTCCCGCTAAACTTTTTGTTTAGACGCATCCTTGGTAAATCTCACACTTCTTACCCCCAATACTTAAGCTTCTTCTTTTAAAATTTCAATCGAAAGACAATGTCGTAATCTAGATTAGCTACTTCATGTACTGTTCAGATCACATTGAAACAGATCCTATTTCACTACATTTTAAGTTTTATATAACAAAGTATGAATAAAAATTGATGAATTCTGAACAAGCTCAGCAAACATGAAATGTTAGATCATGGCAGTGTAAGACAGATGAAAAATCATACTGGAAACACAAGCCATCCACCACAATTTAACAAGCACTTGCCCTCATGTATGCAAGAAGATCAAGTACATTGCCCACGGCATATTAGAAAGCATAATTTGCTCATAGTTAAAAAATCTTATTTCTTTGAAGATACTCTATTTTTCAATTTAAACTTGATAACATTAAGACATCAAAGAATCTCACTGCAGTGAAAACCAGTGAGGAAGAAGAGATGAAGAAACCGGGGGCAAAGGGAAAAGGAAAGAACAAACTAATGTTAGCTTAACTTGTGGCACTTCCCAGAACTGCAAATTTTTTAGGGGAAATTAAAAAAAATGGGAAAATGTTTAACCAGTCGCAAAGATTTTAAGAAAACGGAAGTAGAGCGAGGATAGAAAGAATTAATATAAAATCAACTTCTTGACGCTTCGGAAAACTCCACTTTCTTCCATTTAGACTAGGAAAAGGACATAAAAGATGGAAAATTAGTTCCATAAACCTTTTCTATTTTCTTGGTTGTGTTGCAATATTCAAGGTGCAAGAGCAAACAGAATCACTACAAAACCGCATCCATCAGTAATCAAGATAAGGAATCATAAACCTCCAGTAAGCTTGAGTTGTCAATTGTCATATGTCACAATTTCAAAGTGGACCTAAGTAGATACGAAATCAGCAACAAAAGCAAGTTCAGAAACTGACCTAATGCATGCCTCAGAGGTACTTGAATGAAAGGACAGTATCAAGCCACAGCCTCCAAAGTTATCATTTGCACGGCCATAATATACTTCATTTGTAACTAAAAGTGGCTAAGAGTCATCTAATCATTTATGAACAAACAAATTTCAGGAAAGTTCAATTTTATTTCAGTATGATCATCAGATGTACCAATGATTGATAATGTTGCTGCATACATTATGCATGGTTCGCATGTCACATATAGGGAGCATGCTAAAAACTGTTATGCTACTTCTGCAGCCGAAAATTCTGTCCTCTGCTGCCACTGTTCAAGAAGAACATCAACAGCGTCCATCTCTGTATGTCTTGTTGCCTATGAAAGCGCAAGGAGAAAAATAAAGAAAGCATGTTAAACTTAGGAGCTTTGCCAGAGAGTAATTGCTCTTAGTGTAGTCTCATCATAAATTTAGGAAAAGCATTTCATGACAATTGTTTTCTCCGAGAAGTTATCTAATTGAGTATATAAAAGATTGATCAACGCATATACTACTTTTTTTTTTTGGTCAAAAGGCATATACTACTTGATATCAACAAGTTTTGCTAGCTTGAAGTTGCTGAGAATCTCACATGAAAAAGAGGCTTTTTGTTGGATTGGCCTCCTCTTCCTTTTCTAACAGTATTTTTTGTATACCCTTATAGCAAGGTGCCTTTCTTTTTTCATTATGCTCCACTAAATACTAAGAGGGCCAAAAAAATTTTCACACCAACTATTTATTACTGTCCGCAAAGTCATTTTTAGTAGTTTTTTGTCACCATATAACTATAAATGATTACAGGAATAGACCATTAGATAAGAGATTATCTCTACCAGAAACCAGGCTTAAACTATTTGTTTAGATGTGGCCATTGTGTGAAAAAAATGTGCCCAGGAAGCAGGTTCTTACATCTTAAAAGGCAACACAATGCTCACACAATTCATTTTTATACCAAATAAGTATACCAAAGTCTGGCTAACATATGGCCTGAGGAAACAATGTGAGGAACTTCACAAAAGCTGATAAAGACCATAATATGGTTCCAGACAGAGCACAAAGGTAAAAGAAATTCGTAAAACATTATGCATAATAAAGCGGTAGCCGTAGTCATATTTTATGAAAGAATAATGGGAACAAAACCATTTACAGCCTAACAATGCACGGAAAATTCCACTAATTAACAGATTTGTTCTGAATTATCATCTATTAAAGAAATAATCATGGGAGAAACATAAACTGATCAACAACGACGACGAGCGGATAATTCGAGGGTATCAATTCAGAATAATAACAAAGTGCTGTTGGCCATATTTATACCAGGTGGTGGAGAAGCAATGATAAACCATACATTCTGTGTCTAATTAGTCCTGTTTCTTCCTGCCACAATAACGTGCCCATCCTCAACAATCTCAGCTGTTCAATCAAAGAGTACAATATGAAATCATTCACTAATTAAGATTGATTTGTTCTGAAATGCACATGGTTACTGAAAATCAATTTTTTACCCAACTAAAACTTCAAGGCTGTGCAAAGCAAGCTTGCCTTATATAAGAATAGCATATAGGTTTTGTTATTTGTTAGGAGAAAAAAATATGAGTATAAGAGTTAGAAATTCTCGAGCATGCATCCATGCATACAAGCAATTCAAGAAGAAATCAGCATCAAGTGTCCAGCAGTAGAAATATTCAGTATCAATATGCAGCTACTAATGGAACGAATGCATATTTCACAACTATATAATCAGGATGCTCCAAATCCTGTATAATGTACTGGTCACAAATTTCTAAACGATGATTATTACAACATATTCGTCCAGTAATCCAGATGCAAATCCCACCTAACTATTAAACATGGCTCTGACCACACTAAAGCAAAAAAAACTACTAATTTGAGAAACTACATGTTCCTTATTCCAGTGTGTCCTATCATTGTTACCTCAGAAGCTTATCTTTCATTATATAGGTTTCACTCAAACATTCAAGAAGCTTCCAGGAGTATTAGCTTCTCGGTCATTCTCCTTCATAAAGGCTATGGCACATAAGGATTAAAAGAGAACCCTAAACTGTTGCAAAGACCTCAAATCAGAATGGATAATCAACTTCTTGTGCTTTTGTCTCTATTCTACTGAATAACTTCTGCAAACTGTGTTTCTAGTGATTCCTTTCTTTTTCCATATCCACAGTCCATAGGGCGAAAGAAAATAACCACTTAACCAGTTATCCATGGGCACAGCTGGTGTTCATATTAATGTCTCACTCCAAGTAAATTTGGTTTTCAATTCTCACTAATTGCCAAAGGCAACAAGTGGTAAAAGGACTCGACTGTGAAACAACCTTTCCTGGTGGCTTGCCATCTCACTTCTTCATTCCTCTAAGGTTTTGTTGGCTGGTTGTCCGCTTCACCGCGTGGTTTCACGTAAGGGAGTTCCTAACCTATAGCACCTAGATTGGCTCAGTTTTTCGCCTGAAAAGGGAACTGAACCTACCCATGTACACCCTCTTCCCATTATTTCACTCTCCCTCACTTGTTTGCCCTTTGAACCTGGACTTCACCTACTTATCTCAATAAATTGCCACCTGGGAAAAAAAAGGAAAAAAAGCTATACCTTCTAGGGATTGTTGCTGATTTTTCCGCTTGTAAAGTCAATTGCCAATGAATTCACTACCAAACATCCTCAGACAAAACTTACGAAAAAACACTTAGTCAACATCCCACGAACAAATTCAACGACACATTTTTCAAGTTCCTGCGCAACCATAGCACCATATGGATCGAATTTCAAAATCCATCTCGAGTATTACATCAACTAATACAATTCGGATGTGCCAGGTGTTACTTGATCTATAGCAAGCTGCATGGCGCCCAGAACCTCAAAGGAGAAAATCGTTCACCCAAAGCTACGTCATCAATTTCCATGGCTTTGGTCAGCAGTTAGAGTCCGTTGCCTCCACTCACCAGCCTCTGTCGCCGCCGGTTCGCTAGGGACCCTGTTTCAGGAAGACAAACTTCTTCTGTTCGTCGCCTTCGTGGGGAGGTGACGATCTTACATTCGTAAGAGATTGCCGTCGTTTGATGGAAGATGAGCAGTTGTGATGCTAAAACTGGCGGCAGTGGAGTTCGAAGTTTGCCCATGGCGGAGAAAAGAGGATTAAAAAAAATTATACTTGGGTGTAATTCCCAAAGAAAGAAGGTGAAGAGAGAAAAGGTAAAAGCAAAGAAAAGAGATAAAGAGAAGAAAACAAGAAGAACAGGAAAAGAGTAGACATTGTAATCAAGATCGGCTGAGTTTACTTACCTACGAATTGCTTCCTCAGCAAGTTCCGCTCAGTTTAACAACCAAAGCAGCGAGCAAACACCGCCATATTCAATCCACTTAGAAGTCTGCATAGTCTTGGTTCGCGCGCCTCGGGGGAGAGATGCCAATGATTTCTCTTTGACTATATTTCTCGGTGCTCATTTGACATTCTTGTAAGTCCTTCTGTAGATCTGCTTCGCTCGAATTATCTTCGTGTATAAGTGAACTCCCAGCTGCTGAATCGATTGATTCATGACCAACCTCATAGAGTAAAGCCGGATCAATCAGCCGATTGTCTCGAAGCTCAACCTTTAAATCGTCCCTTAAATGCCTACATATTATTCGAAATCCCCATTTTTTCACACCACCCGATATCGTAAACTTAAACTCTACATAATTTCCATCAATATGACCAAAATCGACTGCTCCCCACACCTTATATGGTGTCATATACTGAAACATGATATGATCCGAATCCAGCGAATGGCTGTTCATTTGTGTTATGCCTTTCCACTGTGTACCATCAATATGTGTATCAACCTGAAACACGGCTTTCTTTTCTTTCGCATCATTACTAACAACGAAACAAAGAGCCACTCCAAGGAATTTGTCATACAAGTCCTTCGAAGCCATAAAAGATACGGAGCCCTTTTCATGAGGAAGGATCCACTGTGGCATCTCTCCTTCCGGGAGATAACTTTTGAAATAAGGCCCAACCTGTTACAGAGATAGACTGGTACAAAGTATCCAAGTTAGTATAAGTACCCAAATGAGAAGATCCATTGATCCTTGCTTGCATTAATACACAAGTCTGATGCGATAGAAATCATTCCTACGGAAGCCACCTACGTTACATGCATATGCATATATGAGCAGAACCATTTCGTATTTGTTTGCTTTTCTTAAGCACGCGATGGACCCAGCATATACTCACATTGATATGGTGTGTTTGTGTGTGTGTGTGTGTGTGTGTGTGTGTGTGTGTGTGTGAGAGAGAGAGAGAGAGAGAGTCTAACCGTATCAGCCAAACATCTACGGGCAAAATGATGAATTGAGGTTAAATCTTCATTTTTTTGTAGGAATTGGCAATTATCCGCCCAAAGATAACTCAAAAATGGAGGAAGCTCGGGAATCTCTTGTAATTGACGGCAGTTTTCAACTCCCAATTCACACAAACGATCCCGCTTACTGATGGATGTAGGGAGGGTAGTAATATTGGTCTCCGTCAGAATTAATTGACCCAAGAGAGGAAAATAGGCAAGATTCTCAAGAAAGTCTACTTGGGACAGATTACATCCCATAAGGTCTAACCGGTGTAAATTTGAAAGTCCGGTCTCCATGCACGGATCAGCTAAATCCTCGTATATTGGAAACTCGATTAAATTTGGGCAATAGCTAACCTGCAAGTTTACAAGTTTTTGTAACTTATAAATGCAAGATGGAAGACGTTTCAAGCTCTTGCAATCTTTTATATACATTCCCTCCAAAGAGACAAGATTTTCTATGGATGCGGCAAGTTCTTTAATAGTGGTCCCTCCTAACCGAAGATTTTTTAGGCCTTCGAGTTTATGCGAAATATCAGGAAATCTTTCAAATTTCGTGCATTCTTCAAGATTGAGATCTCGAAGATTTTTTGACTTGAGCACATTTGGAAAAACACGAAGTTCTGAGCACTCCCTTAAATTCAACACCTGTAACTTGTCATGATGTGCGATGGAGTCATGGGCTTCTACCAAGTTTTTGCAATTACAGAGATCCAATTCCTCAAGATTTGGAGTACACGAGAGGTCGGGCATGCGAACGAGCAACTCGCAACCACTGAAATTAGCATACTTCAAATTTTGGAAGTCCTGCAAAAACAGCGAAACCAGCTTTGGTAAACATTCTGAAAGGGAAAAAGGGGTGTTTGCATGATGATGTTGCTTCCTTACATTCAAACCATGTGATTCCCGTTTGAGGATAGGTTGCTACCGAAGCAAATCCGGTATTGATCTTTCAAAAAATTATTATATTTTGGGTCATCAATCGTATTTATTGAGCAATTTGTTTATTTAATACAGAGGTGATCTGCTACAAAGTCCACAAATAGGTCTATGTAAGTTGATGTACATAGACGGCGGAGTCAAACTCATGAAATGATGGTAAATTAAAATCGGTTGTCCTTTACGTTAACCATGGTTTATATATTGATCATTAATAATATCATAATTTATTTGTAGGGGCTTAGCTTGATTGAGGGTTATAAAATTGGCTACACAACACAAGGGGGAGATTGGGTTTCTCAGGGATAATTACATATCCTTGACTGTTATATAATCTATACGAACCGGGTGAATATGTCATAATTACATTTGCTTAGGCCACGACACTCTTCATGTGGAAGGAAGCAAGGAACTTCGGTAGCTCGGACAACTTGGAACCTACTATTCGGTTTTATGAGTAAATTTGTTAACCTATTAATTGACTTTTCATTTAAAGTTACTATAAACTGATAATTGTGAGAAATTAAATACTGTATTGAGAAATTACTAAACACTTAGAAACTTTACTAGTACTTATATATATGTATATATATATATATATAGAGAGAGAGAGAGAGAGAGAGAGAGAGAGAGAGTTTTTAGCAAGTCAGAGTAAACTCTTATCATTTTACATTTTAGATATTATTTGAAAGAATTGAATAAAATATAGACACACGATATTAAAAAGTTCACAAATAAAATTGGATTAACAATTATTAAAAAAATTAGAGTATCATTAAAAATACCTAATCATCATGTAGAATTAGCCCTTATTAATTTTCTTCTCGCAAAAATCTCAAGTTGGTACGATTATGACACATTTAACCCAAACTAATTTTTGTCTAAAAAAAATCTCAAACCCGTATTCCTCACCCAAATTTATCCTTTATTAGCAAACAAAAATTAGTTTGGGATAAAATTGTGTCACGTGTCATGTATGTGGCAATCCCAAAATTCAAGTGAAGTGTCATGTGGCAAGTATGCAAATGTAGGCCATAAAACAAAACTATTCCACCTGTCATGCCATATGACAATCATAGAAGCATAGTAAAGTGCCACATGGTGAGTGCGGATGCGGGCCACATAACATAACGATGCCAAGTGTTAGGCCATGTGACAATCATAGAAGCAAAATGAAGTGTCACGTAGTGAGCACATGAGTGAACACTTTGTCAAATTTCAGCTATAACTATACATAATAGATGAAAGTCAAGAATATATGTTCTATCATAATGAAACTTCTGGAAAATCAACAAAATTTAAATTTTGTGAAGTTTTTCAAAGACAATGAAACCAACCTTGAAAAATATTCGAAAGAAATTACAAATTTCATATATTGAATTCAAAAGGGCTAATATAGGTAAATGCTCACCTTAAATTGATTTGGTACTGTTGTGATACTGCAATTGCTCATATCAAGTTCCACTAATTTCTTTTGACCAGAGGAAAATTCTGGAATCCGAGGAGCACATCCAATCCATCCAAACCATCTTAGCTCATTAGGAAGACAGATAGGACCTTGGAAAGAATTATGCACATTGCACAAAATGAGCAATCTCAACCTTCTCATTTTTGTAAAAGCATCAGGACCGATAAATATTTCTGTCAGCTTAGGTAGCACTAACACTATGGCTTTTACAGCACAATCTCCCTGTATATACAAGACTATTTAGGTTATGCATGTTCAGTAATTAGAGTAAAAAGATAAGGAGCAGAATTTTGATCGTATTAGCAAGTCTTACCATGTCGCTTGATAGAACATCGACAACGTCATCATACAACCATAGTCTGCTGCGTCTCCTGGGATCATCGGTTTCTTGCTTCACAATATCCATACCCATCAATTGAATCAAGTCATGCATTTGCATGTTTCCGAACTCATCAGTTCTTATCAAGGACCTCTCAATGAGAATTTGTAATCCTATTATTGCCTTAAGATCGCAACTTTTGAGAACTTTCTTTATATACTCAGTTTCCCACCCCTTGAAGAAGCAGGCAATGTGAAGAAAAATCTCTTGCTCATTTGCCTCTAGTCCATGATAACTTATTTTGAGCACATCATTGATGTCTTTCTTAGGAGCTGCATAAATTTTATCTAGTGCACTTTCCCATTCTTCTTCTCTTCTACCACTTAAGAAGGAACCTAGCACCTCAAGTGCTAAAGGAAGGCCTTTAGCATGATTCAGAACACTATTCACTAGATCTGTCCTAATTTTAAATTTTTGGTGTGTCAGAAAAGCATGCTTACCAAGTAGCTCATGAGCTGCACTGTCATTCAACTCTTTAACTTCATACACATGATCTTGATCTATCCCGTGACTGGTTAGCAAATGTTTATTTCTTGTGGTAATGATAATCCTACTCCCATTACCAAACCACTTGCCTTCCCCCGCTAAAGCATTTGACTAGCGCAAATCATCCACGTCATCAAGGATAAGGAGAACTTTTTTGTGACAAAGTCTATATTGTATTTGATTAATGCCTCTATCAACACAGGACACTATTAATCTTTCTTTCAGTGCTAATATCTCAAATAGTAAATTTTCTTGCGAAGTAACTAAATCCTTGCAATCTTTTGAAACTTCTCGTACATTCGCCAAAAAACATGAATTACTGAATTGTCTGAAAATATCATTATAAACGACTTTGGCTAAAGTCGTCTTTCCTATGCCTCCCTGACCCCACAATCCCACCATGAGAACATCATTGCATTCAAGTTTTAACATCGATTTCAACTTAACCACTTGGGGATCTATCCCAACCGGATACTTAGCAACATGCAAAGGTGTTCGGTCTAGGTGAGTGGAGATTTCCTTCACAATTCTGTGTATAAGCTCTGACTCATCTCTGAAAAAAAAAAAAAAAAACCAAGAAAGAAGTTGTGACATCATTTTGGCAATTTGAATAATCAAATAACAAGTAATTACTACCCAACAATGACAAAAGCAGTGCATCACATTTTCACATAACCACAACCAAAACAAGATGTATGCCCACCGAGTCGAACTAGAACTCCGAGATCTCCGCGCCAACCAACCAAAACATGTATCCATCTCCTTAATGATTCATGTTATTTTGATTTATACAAGACGATTCCCTTCTTTTTTTTTGACTGTTATACGTTATTTATTTATATACTTAATCAAAAAGAGCTATTTAGGACTTGGGACGGTGGTAAGATTTCGATTTGAAAAATATTAAAATACCCCAAAGCACGATGGCATTGCCTTACATGGTGTGTACACACTAATTATCCTATATCAAGCGTTGCAAACTTTTTTATTCGTTCCAAAGAAATGGAATAGGTGCAATAACACATGTTTAACATTTCGTCCATTGATCAATCAACACTTTGTTTTGTTCAAATAAGTCAGTAAAATTTTCAGCCGATGAAGTACTATTGTCAATTTTTATTACGGGAAAAACCCACGTGTCTATTATATGCTTAGCCAAAAATGCAACCGGTAATGAGTTTTTGACTCAGTTGACCAAAATTGAAAATCTGTAGAAGGCAATTGACCAAGATGAGACGTGAAGAGCTCTGATAGCCCACTCAAAACGTTTAGAACTTTTATTATACTTCGAGGAGGGCAAGAAGGATCCAAAGAAAGAGCTATAGACCTTGCCCGAATGAAACAGGGCTTAGTAAAAGCCCAA